AGCAGATGGAGCAGCTGTGGAATCAGGTGGGAGGCTTGGCCCGGCGCTCCCCTAGGTGACAGCTGTGTGTGGCATCCTCCTGCTCTGGCATGGCCAGCATCTCACCAGGTCCCCAGTCAGTGATTTGGGACAGGAGAAAAGGGAGATGTTAATATTTTTTAACATCCCTTCAAACGCAATTATTTAAAAGTCATGCAATTTAAAAAGGTGACTTTTCTAGGAGGATGGGAGATGGGGGTGTGTCTGTGTGCTGTGTGCCACACACAGAAAGAGAAGGGGAGGATGTTACGAAACAGAAAAGCAGGCCATGCTCCTCTTGGGAAGGGTCAGGGGTCCTGTCTCGGGGCCACTTCCCCTGAGGGGACTGTGGGGCGGTAGAAAGAGTGCAGGCTTTGGAGGCAGAGAGGGTAGGGTTCAAATTCCTGCCTACCCACTGGGTGCTGTGTGACTTCAGGGGAGTAACGTGCCCTCGCTGTGCCTCATCCGTAGCCTGGAGCTGAGCAATGTCTCCGCTCAGCACATTGCAGGTCCCTGGTAAATGGCAGCTATCCGTGTGCCAGCCTCTTCAACATAGAGGCTCTCAGAGGGATGTGCTTTTGTGGTTTTGCCTTCACTTTTCAGATTCAGGGGTGGGAAGATGGATTCAGTGTGGATGGGGCGGCTCTCCTGCCATTCGCTTGTGGGAATTAGGGAGAGTGCCTGCTCCTCTGGGGAAGACGCATTTTCAGTCTTTTTAGTAGAGCAGATAACAACAGCTCCTGGGCCTGTGGGACGGGCCGGGAGAAACCCAGGTGCTGTTTAACAAGCTCTGCAGGCTCAGGAGTGACCCCTCTCTAGTTCCCAGGAAGGGAGGAGGCGGTGAAGATTCCAGGGGACAACCTCTTGGGCAGCCCTGGAGTCGGAAGGCAGCCTGAGCGTGAGCAGGGGGTGCAGCTGATGCCGATCTTGTGTGGGGACCAAATTAGGACAGCTGGAGAGATGCAGGAACTTGTCCGGTCACTTTTCTTACTTGTGGAAGGCAAAAGCCAAGGTTCAGCCCATATCCTTGAGAGCATCCTTTCCCCAAGGGTCAGAGAGGAGGAAAAGGAAGAGCCACGGAGGGCAGCAGTGGATCAGGCAGCTCAGGAAGAGCCAGCTGTAGGTCAGGAGACCTGGGTCAGAAACTCACTTCTGCCACTTACTAACCCTGGGTAGTCCCCTAAGTTCCCTGTGCCTCAGAACCTCCGACTGTGAAACACCATCCCATCAGGTGGCCGCAGTACGGGTCAGGTGAGCACTAATTCACTCTAGAATTGTGGAGGGCGAGGGTGCAAGGATCACACCTGGGTTTTGTGCAGTGACATGGCTGCCGTAGGCAAAGGATGTATTAAAAGCAGTGTATTGTTGGGAAGGGAACAGTTGAAAAGAACTTTGAAAACCCCTCAGCCTAGAAGTATATTGATGAGCAAGGAGAGCCCAGTGCTGTAACCTGAGCGAATCGTGCAGAAGCAGGAGCCACCACTACAGAGCTACCGCTGTTGCTTTTAAGGCCACAGGAGGAAGCATCGGGAGATTGGAAAGGACCAATGAGGTCCTGGGTGGGGAGAAAATGGCTAGATGGGCAGAGGCTGGGAAGCTCAATCAACTATTTTTCACAACCCAGGTTGACACCCATTAGTGAGTTGTGAAATAGAACTCTTTAAAAAGTAGTTGAAATAGACTGTTAGAGAATAGGATAGAAAATATCCGAGTGTATTGCCCACGGTTGGGGCGAGTGTTGTGACAAAGGGTAGATTAATGGTTACATGTCTGTGTGTCCTGGACCGTGGGCCGTGGTCAGTGGCCTCCCAGGGCTGTGGAGACCCAGCTTGTCCTGTGTAGAGTCACTCCTTTTCTGTGACTGAGGGTCAGGCCAGAGACAGAGGGCGGGCAGTCATGTCCCCTCTCTGGATTCAGGAGGGTCTTTGATGCCACTTCCTAATTGGTCACTGAGGTCACGTAGCTATAGGGGAGGATCTGCTCAGATGGCACTGGCTACATCTATCAGGCTGAGATTTACAACATTTCTTAAGGTTGAACTAATTGTAAATATAAAATTGCAACTAATAATGCAGTTTACATTCACTCAAGCTCTGCTCTGAGCATTCCCCATGACTCCGTCTCATCCAGTCCTCTCAGAAACTCAATGAGGCAGGCAGTTCTTACCCCTCTTTCGCAGAAGATGGAACTGAGGCACAGCAGAGTGAAGTGATGTGCCCAAGGTCGCAGTTAGTAAGTAGCCAAACCGGGATGTGAGCCCAGCAAGTGTGGCCCCAGAGTTTGTGTTCTTAGCTACTAGGCTGCCCTGCTTTCTGCGTGGAGAGCTCTTCATGGGTCTGAAGCTGACTCGGAACTTAGGTTGGGTTATAGGACTTGAGGACAAACATGGAAAGGGCACATTTCAAGGGTTTTAGGAATCCCACTCTTGTCTTAGAATTGGGCATTCTATATATTTTTTCTTTAAATATATGTTTGTTTTTAATATATATTTATATATTTGTGGGGGTGGTTTATCATATTATATACTGTCATACTTAATAGACTGATAATATTTCTTTTCCCTCATAATCACTGCATTGGCTTCGCTTGTAAAGGCTGCTTTGTTTCTGGTAACAGAAATCAAAATAGTGTTGGCCGTGTAGGAAAATGGCACATTGAAGCTTTGTGAGTTTGATTTGAGATACATGCTGACACCGTGCTTAGAGATCATGTTAAACTATGTGAATAAGACTGGCAAGTACTGGTGAAGGAAGGCTACTGGCCTGGGGGTCAGAGTGGGCCACAGGTGGACAAGCTAAGGATGTATGTTTTTAAAGCGAAAGGCTGGTGAGCTCTATTCATCCAGAATATGTGTTTGAACTGGAGAGTAATTTTCCCTGTTTGCCAGACATCGCTGAGCCTTGTTCCCAGCACCCTTTCTACGTGGGTTGCAGGCGGTAGAAGCTGGCGTTGGCCGAGTGGAAGGACATGGGCATGGGAAGTGTTTACACATGGAGTGCAGTAGGTTTCTGGATTCTTTTTATAACTTGTACTTGGTGGTTTATAAAAATAAGCCTGTTCCTTTTGCATGAGGCATAACGAGGTCTGAAGACAGTGTGTGAGATGAGTCGATCAGCAGTGGGGATATTGGGAAGGAGGAGAGGTGCTCTTTGCTCCCTAACCCTTCTCATGATGCCTGCTGCCTCCCCTCTCCCTGCCATGAGACCCCAGCCGCACGATTGCTTCTCTCTTGAAGCTGCCATAGTCCCAAGCAAGGCCCACACAGAGTAACCTTAATTAAGAGCCACCTTGTTCTGTGGGGTCTTGCCCTGCTTTGTGTGGCTCACAGAATCCCATGCAAGTTCACCAGGCATCCCCAGTCCGTCCCTGCACAGAGTGTGGTTTGTAGGGAGGAGCAGTTACAGTGGGGGTTGCAGCTCTGCATTTTGCAGATGAGGACCTTTGGGGCCCAGAAACTAAATGACTTTCTCAAGGCCCCATGGCTATCAGGTGCTGAGCCAGGGTCAGAGCTGGGGTCGGGGACTTGTCCTCCAGTGCTCTTCTTGCAACCTGGTTCTGACTCCAGCAGACAGAGCTCAGCATCTCCAGCTGTAGGCACACCCGCCAGTTGAGACTGGGCAGCCAGCAGCCGTGGGGTTTCCTGAGCTGCTGCCTCCCCTTGAACCCCAACTCCTAGGGTCTGATGGTGTCAGACTTCCTTGTTTTTTGTATGTTTAATTTATTTTTATTGATTTCAGAGAGGACGGGAGAGGGAGAGAGAGATAGAAACATCAATGATGAGAGAGAATCATTGATTGGCTGCCTCCTGCACGCACCACACTGGGGTTTGAGCCCACAACCCAGGCATGTGCCATGACCGGGAATCGAACCGTGACCTCCTGGTTCATAGGTCGATGCTTAACCACTGAGCCACGCTGGCCAGGCTCGCTTGTTTTTTTTAAAAAGACCCAGCCTACCATTCTGGATGGAGGTGGCCCATTGCCCAAGCCAACAGCTTGAGCTCTACCACGAGGGCACTGGAGGGCTACCCTGGTCAGCATTTGTCAGGGATGGTGGTTGGGCCACAGAGGGATTCAGCCCTCCTCAGTCATTTCTATCTGGGCTCTCATCTCACCCTCTCAGGTTCCCTTGTACGTGGGGCTTATTTTTCCCCTCTCTGTTCACTGATTGGGTTCTCTGCTCCGTCAGCCTTTTCCTTGCACGTGGTTCGCCACCGCTGTGCCCAAATGGTGGACTCAGCTCAACTCGCTTCTCTACGCTGATGGCCTCCGTCTCAGCATCTCAGCTCCATATTCCAGGGAGAGAGTCCCTATGGCCAGTGGTCAGGCCACCAAATGCAGAGTTGCCCCTCCCCCAAGGGAGCGGGGTTGGACCTGGCAGGGACAGGAGCGAGGCGGGCCACACTGGCTTGGGCACCAGAAGCCAACTTAGGTTTGCCTCTGCTCCCTGGTTGGCTGACCTCATGGGCCTCTCCTGGGGGAAGACACCCCACACAGGGGACCTTGGGGTGGCAGTGGGCTTTGGCTATGATCTGTTAAGCCCCTTTACTATGGGGTAGAACCCATGTTTGTTCCTGGTGACATGCACTTGGGTGCACTGCCACACCAGGCTTGTGTGCAGATGGCATTCCTGGGCCTGAAAGGAGGAAGGAGCTTTTCTTGGAGGCCTGTGGGCTGGAAATGGACATGGCCGAGGCCCCTGGCTGCCCCCTTCCTCCCTAACTGGCCTGACCCGTGGGTAGCCCAGAGGCTCTGGAGGCTGCCTTATGCATGCCCCTCTCTCTGTGTCACATGTTGTATATGATGGTACATGCACACATGACCTGGGCCAATTGGTCCCTTTCCAACTGGAACAGGACAAAAACCACCCCAGGCCTTTGTCCCCTGAAAGCTTTGAGTTCTCTGTGTCGGGGAGCGAGCTCACAGGCACAGCAGAAGCGGCAGCCTGACCACTCTGCGGGGTGGGCAGTGGCCCCCAGGCCCAGCCCAGACCCCTGTCTGTTCCCCCTGCCCTGGCTTCCTTCTGCTGACAGGGACAGACACAGGTACCTACAGAGGCCAGATGAGGAAAGGACCTGGCTCAGACTGGCCTGGGCCTGGGTCCATGCTCTCAGCAGAGCAAGTGATGGGAGACACAGGGCCCTGGGATGAGGGACGCTTTCTCTGAGCGAGGTAGTGCCCTTGAGCACAGGCCCCTGGGTGGGTGGAGAGGTCCAGGGAGTCACTGGTAGAGGTAATAGCTTTGATCCACTCCAGCTGTGTGGCCTCGGACAAGCCGCCTGGCCTCTCTAATAGTTCTGCCCACACACAAGGAATGACAGTTCTGAGTGATTGGGGCTGGTGACTGTGAGTGGCTTGCATGCCAAGGCCAGCAAAGCCCTCCCGGTGACCTTTGCCTCTCTTCTTTGCAGCTGGAGGAGGCGGAGTGCTTTGCCATGATGGTGATCGACCGTGGGGAGGAAGCTGGGGAGTTCCTCTCCAAGGCCTACCTGGCGCTGGGTCTCACCTACAGCCTGCAGGCCAGCGACGGTGAGTGCCAGGGTCTCAGAGCCTTTTCTTGGGGTGACTCAGGCCTCCTAATGGCCTCTTGTTTCATCAGTGTCTACCTCCCAATACACCCCCTTTGACTCCTCTGGGATAGATGTGTGTACACACACACACACACACACACACACACACACCCCTCAGTCCCATTTCCACTCTTGTCCAGCCTTCACACCTCTCAGAGATGCCTTCTTCATCAACCAGTTTTTCCCACCCTTCAAGGCCCAGCCCCAGCTCCTGGCAGAACTCATGCCAACCTCTGCCTCTGGGACCCTTTGTGGTACTGGCAGCTGTAGTGGCCCGCCAGCCCTGATCCCACATTCTAGTTCATTCTGGTTCACCTTTAACCTCAGCACTGCTGTAATCTTCTGGGGTCTTTTGAATCCCCCTCCATGCATAGTGTAGAGCTGGGTATACAGCAAGTGTTTAATAAATACTTGCACTTGGAAGAGGGGTTTCACTACTGCTACTCAGAGCCTAGCATTCGCTCTCCAACTCTGACAGCTCAGCTGTGTGTCCCCATGGATCAGGCAGCCACCTACCTCTGTATCCGTGCAGCTTGAGAGAAAGGGAGCAATGGACGCCCCCAGACTAAACCTGGGATAGGAATCGGCCCCTGAAAGTATAATAGAGGTTATGGGGTGGGGTGGGGAATGAGGGAGGGGAGTTAGTGCTCAGTGGGTGTAGACTTTCTGTTAGGCATAATGAACAAGTTCTGGAGATGGATGGTGGTGGTGGTTACACATATTGTGAATGTACTTAATGCCACTGAGCTGTACACTTAAAATTTGTTAAAATAGCTTAAAAAGAAGCAGCAGCCTCATGGATAAGGAAGCCCAAGGAGGCATGTGGCCAGGATGGAAGTGGGAACCTCTTTCTCCAAGCTCAGGCCTTTGAGAGGGTCAGGTTGGCACAGGTGACAAAGAAGGCAGTGGAGTGGAAGGGCCTGGTGTGCCAAGAACCATGCCAGGGGGCTGGGGTCAGGTGGACACCCCACACCCTCCCCCAGTAACCAGGGCAGTGGGTGGCATCAGTGGAGGCTGTTGGAGTGCCAGCATTTGCCAGACAGGGCCCGATGGGGCCTCCCCTGCAGAGCGTGTGTGCCCTGGGGTGGGGCAGGGCTGGTCGCACCCTCAGCACCCCCTCATGGCTGTCTCCATCTTGTCTTCCGCAGCGACTCTGAAATGCAGGCAGGATGAGTTGCACCGGAAAGCACTGCAGACACTGGAGAGGTAAGGGGGCCCGAATTGCACAGGGGCACAGGTACCAGTGTGCATGTTTGATCTCAGTGGACCCTCTGGTGTAGATGGAGCAAAGGTTTCTGTCCCCATTTTATTGACCAGGAAATCAAGGCTCTAAGAGCTCACACATGAAGCAGAGACAGGCCTTTGGGGTTGGGTGGGTGGTGGGGCCTTTCAACACTGATGGACCATACCCACCCCCCAAGGCTGAGCCTCAGCCCTCCTGAGCTCAGGGTTCTAAAATGGGAATAATAACCCATTATTGTTTTGATGACTACCTGAGATAAAGCAGGAAAAGCACCTTGCACAGTGCCTTACCTGTAGCAGGAGCTCAAAAATTCAATGGCTATGGGGACTCTCCATCCATAGTCCTCCCAGAGATTTCCTGGCAGCCATGGGGTCAGGAATGTGCGGGTGGGGAGGTGGGGAGGGGAGGCAGAGATGACCTTCCCCCAGCAGCGGCCTTCCCTCCCGCAGACCCATCCTTGCTGCGCTCCTGTCTCCACACAGCCTTGGCCCCTGACCTCCCCCCCGACTCCTTCCTCAGAACCCTGTGTGTCCGATCCCCGACCCCCCTAGTGCTGATGTGGAAGCTTCTGGGTACGGACTCCTTGTGCCAGCTTCCCTGGAATATGCAGCACACTTAATTCCCTCTGGGCAGGTTGTTCCCGAGCCCAGGGAGACTGGAGAGTCCCATCCTGGGTGCCAGGATAGGGGGACATTTTCTTCCTTTCTCTGCTGCCTCTTCATTCCTGAGGCTTCTTGCCCAGAGAGGCCGTTCCCAGCGCCTCCACCCTCAGGAAGGTGTTTCCTTCTGTCCTATGGTGGAGAGGGCAGGCTCCAGGCTCTGTATAAGACCACCGCAGGGCCCAGCCAGGTCAACAGCTGCCCCTACCGGTGGCTTTCTGCCCAAGCCATCACCTGCCAGCTGGGCACCTTTCCAAGCAGACCCCCTGGTGTAGACGGGGCACACATGGCATGCTGGAGGCCTGTGTCAGACACTGGTTGCTCGACCCTTGGTGACTGACTTGGTGCTCCCTTTCCGCATACAGAGCCCAGCAGCTGGCGCCTGGCGACCCCCAGGTCATCCTCTATGTCTCCCTGCAGCTGGCCCTCGTCCGACAGGTGGGTTCCTAACCCCCAGGTCTCTGGGGACTGCTGACCTTTTCCTGGCACCATTGCTTTTACCAGCGGTGTGACCCTTTGCAAGTGACTTGACCTCTCTGAGCCTCTATTTCCTTACCTGTGACAGGAGCACCTTCAAACTCCACCTCAGAGGGACCTAGTAAGGATCAAGTCAGAGAATGTGGTACAGCCCCTGACCCAAGTGGGCTGACAGGGGCATCGGGAATATGTAGCACACAGAAAGAGAAGGGTCCTCGCCAGAAGAGTCAGGGTGCAGCGGGGGGAAAAGCCAGGCCAAGGCAGGGTTGAGGGAAAGCAAACAGCAACCTGACAAGCCCAGGGAAACAGTTCAGTGAGCCAACTGGAGATGAGACCAGAGGCCAGGAATTGACACAGACAGTAAGACCAGCCTCCAGGCCAGTGGACACGGCTCCACGTACCCCTGGATGAGGCCCTTGACACCTCCCTGCCACTCTCTCCAGGAGCACAGACAGCGAGATGCCGGAGACCACTTTATCTTCAGTCTCTGTAGAAGAACCGGTGCTTTTCTTGCCATCAAACTTGTGAGACCTTGGGTGATGTGTTTTTTGGTATCTTTAATTTTCAGCCACCTCTGATGAATGGCAGCTATTGTCTCAGAGAGATGGCTGGGCCAGCCCAGTGGAGCCTGGCACCCAGTGTTCTTGGGGACCCCAGATCTTGGTAGCATCAGTGGGTCAAGGACCCCTAAATGGACTCTAAGCTGGCCCCTGGCCTGCCTGGGTCTCAGGCCCACTGGCCTGTTCTGCCCAGAGCATGGCATGTATTGCTGCCCGAGCAGTGAAGGCTGTGGGTGTGGCTCCAGCCCAGTATGATGGGGTCCACTCTGGAGAATCACCAGGGTAGGAGCACCCTCGGGGAGGCACAGGCAAGCCAAGCTGGCAGCCACACTGGCCTTAGCTTCCTCCTTGCCTTTCCTCAACCTTTCCACAGAGGAAGGTCCTCATGGGAACTCTCGGGGTCCGGCACCGCCCACAGCCTGCACAGAGGCCACATGGAGACCAGGCAGGGGCTGGACACCCCGGGACCCAAGGCCCCCACTGGCCTGCACCATAGGTCCCCCAAGGAACATGGGAGGATCAGTATCTGAGATTGGATAAGAAGCCAGGCTTTCTAAAAAGACTTACAAGGCTCTTGGGAGGATGTGGACAAAGTCGCAGTAGTTGGTCTAAGTGCCAGACCTGAGAGCGTGGGACCACACGCCCCTCAGGACTAGAAGGAGGAATCCTACCTGGTCCTTAGCTGCCTGGCTAGCTGCCTGGCTTTGAGGGCGTGAAGAAGGAAACACATTTTCACACGTGCATGGTCCTCTGCAGAGCATTTGTCCACGTCCCCTCAGCCACTGCAATGGCTCTGGCTGCTCTCATTTTGCAGCCTAAGAACTACAGCTCAGAGAGGTGAAGCCCCTTGTCCTAAGGCACCAGCTGGAACATGGCAGAGCTGGAATCCTGCCCCCATCTGACCCCATGCTCTTGCCACTGTGAGCCTCTGAATAGGAGGGGCATTTATTTGTCGGCCCCTGTCACTGCATGGACCGGTCCAGAGAAGAGGGCCTGGCTACCTTCAGGTACAGACTCATGGCCTGGTGGTTCTTAACGACCCCCACTCCAGCTTAGGAAATGCTTCCCAGTGTCTACAGATCTTCTGTGCTGCACCGCACACCTGCTCCTCTTACTTCCAAGTGGGGACAGCAGAGGCTTCCTGGGCCTGACTTTGGGCTGCAGATCCCTCTTGCCATGTGACTGGGGGGTGGTGGGCGGTGGGGGTTCTCATCAGAGCACCAGCCCTGCCCCTCAGTGCCCAGGGTCTCAATTGAGTCTCATGTCCCCTTGATGGCTGGTGCCTGGCACCAAAGTCCTAGAGGGAGGTGTGGGCCTCGGGGAAGGTCACTGAGCTGGCGGTTCTCTCTGGCAGATCTCCAGCGCTATGGAGCAGCTGCAGGAGGCCCTGAAATTGTGCAGGGATGATGCCAATGCCCTCCACCTGCTGGCTCTCCTCTTCTCCGCCCAGAAACACTACCAGCTTGCGCTGGACGTCATCAACATGGCCATCACGGAGTACCCCGAGAACTTCAAGTGAGTTCCCTGGGGGCACCACTGGCTGGGGGGCGGGGGGGTGGCCACAGATGCAAGACTGTGAAGAGATGGGAGCAGAGCTGTCCTGATGGAAACACGGAAAGGGGATTCATGCCCCTCCTCCGTCCTCAGGCCCAGCACCTGGCATTCTACTGCAGGCCGTCCCTTCCTAACTTCTAGACCGAATGCTTTCTGCTGGCAGAATCACCTCCCCTGGACTAATGTGGGGAGGCTACGGCCGCCTTTGAAAACCTGCTTGAAGCCCATGCTGTTTGAGGCACAGCAGGAGTGGGGTGTGTCCAGGATGTGGGGGGGCCTCTGGCTCTCCCTCAACTCCTCCCAGCCAACCCAGGGAAGGGCCTCCCGCCTCCTGCCAGCTTCCCCCATCCTCCCTGGCTCTTGGCCTGGGTGAGGAAGCCAGCTTCTCCCCAGTCCTCCCTCCCTTATTGGCAGCGGGTGCACTGTCCACCCACCCCTTTCCTCCAACCTCAGGTGTCCAGTTCTTCCCCAGGGTGCTTCACTCACTGAGTGTCTTCCTGGGTAGGTGGGGGAGGTGGTCCTTGCTGTGAAGTTGGCAGCTCCCCTGGAAGGCCCATGGGTGGACTTCTGGGCCTCCATGAACACCTGGACCTGAACTCTAAGGTTTGCACTTGCATGCATCCAGGGACATGGCTTTCCTCAGACCCTCAGAGGGACCCTAAACCCAAAAAAGGTGAGAAGTCTCGATGCAGACAGTGCTGCGATCAATTTGTAGGGTAACTGTGCCCCACTTTGTCAGCTGTGTCCCTGCTTCTGCAGGCAGGAGCCTTCTTAAGGGACAGCCTCCCAACAGAGCTCCCCCATCCAGACACCACAGGGCCACTTCTGGGGCCTCAGGGGCTGGGGCCGTGGGGCCAGCAGCAGGGAGACCACTTTGAGGTCTGAGCCAAGAAGGAAAGTGAGTCCCAGCCCGGAGGCCTCCTCAGGGTCTTCTGTTCCTTTATCACTGCAGAGAGGCCCGCCGGGGAGCTTTTGGGGGCCGGAGCATCCCATCCCTGTGATGTCTGCACACTGAGGTCATGGGGTGGAGAAGCAGTGACAGGTTCTTGTCTCTGAGCCACCCTGAGCCCCTCACCTCCATGACCAGCTCAATCTGAGCCAGCCCTAAAAGGCTGAGAGAGTAACTGGAGGTAATATGGGAGCTCTGACCGCCGGAACTGTGAGGGGACAATCCCTGTTCCTTAGGCAGGAAAAATAAATCCATCTTTTAAAAAGGTGGGGTGGAACACCCACCTCCCACACAGCTCTGGAGCGACCATGACTCTGCAGATAAGTCAATACCATTCCCCACAGATGAAACCCCGGAGCACAGAAACCCACGGATTAGCAGGAAATGTCACTGAGTCCATTACCGGTCAGGGATCACTGAAAAATGTCATTGCTCTTCAATGGAAACTGTGTCCTGCTTCTCCAGCTGCTCCCTGCATTGGGAACAAGCTGTGTGGCTCTGGCTATTGCCACAGCAGTTAATTAAATGACCGATCCAATAATATCACTGCAGGAAAAAAAAAAAATCAAACCCCCTGACGTCAGCCCAACAAGGTCTGTATACTCGGGGGGTCTGCTACTGAGCTCCCCCCCACAGGCTGTCCCAGGTGGCCGAGGCCTTTGGAGGCTGCAGAGCCTGCCTTCGTGAAGAAAGAGGTGGGCCAGGCCAGTGTCAGGAGTGGAGGAAGCATGGCACAGGGGAGGGTGTCGCTGGGTACAGTGGACCCCTTTCCACATGGGCTATCCCCTTGTGAGGCATGCCTGCCCCTTAACCTGTCCCCCTCCAGCAGCTTGCCCCTGCTTCCCATGCCTTCGTTCCTCATCTGCCAAAGACTGGCATCTATCCTGCCTCCTCTGCTCCCGAGGTCTGTTGTGAGACTCAGGCAAGAAAAGGTCTTGGGGTCGGTGTACAATCCTGTTGAGGGACAGCAGTGTGGAGGGGTCTGGGAGTCGGCCCACTACAGTGTAAGACGGCAGCAGGTGGGCAGTGCACATGAGCCAGGCGCTGGAGGCGGGAGCCCTGTGTGTGAGGGAGGGCAGGGACACTCGGTGAAAGGTGTTTTAGCTTTTCAGTGGCACAAGTGGCCACTCTTCCTACAGGCAGTCTCAAGACTCCTGGAGAAAAACCCAGCTTTCGTGGAGTTGAACTTTTGAAAATCCTCCTGAATTCAGGGATTAGAAAGCAACGCAAAGAAGCCTGTTAATTTCCATGCTACGGGCTGACCTTTAGTTAATGGAGCTTGGGTTTAAAAAGGCAGGAACGTGATGAGGCAGAGACTGCCGGCGGGCCGCAGGGACAGTGTGAACCTGGCACGGTGGGAACGAGACACTCAGCAGCTTCCTGAAATCCTGAGGGCTTCTGACTAAGCCCTGGACACATGTGCTGGCCAGGCTGGTGCTGGTTAGACTGCAGGGGGCCTCATGGGGGCAGCAGCCATCCTGTTTGGACCTGGTTCCAAGCCAGGCCAGGCAGGGGAATGTGAAAGGGCCCATGCCAGCTTGGAGATGCCTTTGCTAGTCTTTTCTCCTGGTCCTGGGTGTGGGAGGCAGCTGGGAGGCCCTGAGAGGAGGGACAGGGATATGGGGTCAAAGGGAATGGGCCCTGATAAGCGTGGTGGTTCCTGAAGCCCAGGGCTCCTTGAGACTCTGGTTTTAGGTAACAGATTCCTTGTGCTTTAGTCAGGCTGCTTGTAGTGAAAGTCGCCATGGTAACCAAACAACATTCCTGGGCTAATGATGGGAGCTTTCCAATAACCAGCCTGTCAGTCACTGCCCCCACCCCAGGCCTGGCAGCCTGCCAGACGGGTTTTGAAAGCCCAGGCCATAGGGCTGGAGGCAGAGGAGCCAACTGGCTTGCCCTGCCCAACTCCTCAGTGCCAAGCCTGCCTCCTCCCACCCCTGTGGATCAGGGTAGGCCCTCCTGGGAGTTTCTGCCCAGCCACCTCAGGTTCAGGGGGACTTGAAAGGTCCTGGGGGAAGGTGTGTCAGAGCCCCAGGGGCACTCCCCAGCACAGGAACAATGTGGCCCTCTGGACAAGCTGGAGCTCGCACTGTAAACAAATGGAACCATCAAAGCCATCTCCCCAGAGAAACCTAAGCTGTTTTGGAAAATGTTTGAGCTGATAACTAGGCGTTGGCTGAGGCCAGACCTCAACCTTATCCGGTGAAGGCTAACATCGGCCCAGGGGCACCTCTCTGATCTACCTGGCCTGCCTCAGCTTTTTCTCAGGTGACATGTGACATGTTTGTAGTAGTGCATTCCCGGAGCAGGTCAGGGTCCTGTTAGCATTTCTGACTTAAACCCAGTGTGTTTATTGGATGGATCCTATTAGGGACTTGCAGTAGATCAAAGGGACACTTGAAATACCAGCCTTCCCGTGAGAAGGCTGGAATCGGAGGTATGAGCACAAACCTACTTTATCACTTTGCCGCATTCATTAAACATGTTTGGCTGCTGCAGCCCCGCTGAGGACAAGAGCCATGGCTTACACCTGCGGGCCGTGTGGTCGCGGGGTGTTAAGCCAGGCATAATCACTGGCACTGGGCTCTCGTCCCCAAAGGTCAGTTCCTCCTCGCTAAGCTGGTTTGACATTCAGCGTTTCCCTCCGCTGGCTGTTCCCTGGTTGCTCCCTGCAGCCGCCTGTGATCTCGCTCTGTGTGACACAGCAGCCACGCAGTCCTCGGTCTCTCCCCAGAGGGGGCTGCTCACACTCAGACTAGGAGGGCAGACGAACTTTTGTTTTTTGTTTTCGGAGGAGAGGAAGGAAAGGAAAGAGGTATTTGCTGATTTTTCCAAAAGGAATCCTTCTTTTGTTCTGAAGTGGCTTTTAGCCCTTTGCTTCCTGACTCCACGATCTAACTCTGTGCTGAGGCAAGCACCGGGGCCCAGGATGCACCATCCTCTAGCGGGAGGGGCCCAGCCCGCAGAAGAGAGGGCAAGGGCCACTCATGCCCATAGAGCGGGGTTGCCTTCCCCTTTGCCGGGGGTGGTCTTCAGGTGCCAAGGGTCTGCTTGCTGGGCAGAGATCATAAACCAGGACCAAGGTGTTTGCTTCTTGGTGTCTTATCCTGGCTGGGAGCCTAGCTTCGTTCCACCTGAGGCCCTTCCTTCTGAAAGTTCCTCCACCCCCGAATGGTTGTGGAATGGCTCTGGGTGATGTGTCCATATCCTTCAAGATCGCGAATTCGTGTTTGGAGAGTCATCTGGAGGTGACTGCGGGTGGCTTGCAGCTGGGAGCAGTGGGCCTGGAGGCCATTAGTCAGCGGGTGAGAAGGCCTTGCCGTACAGCCAGCCACATGGCGTGCACGGGGAGGGCGGTCCTCCAGGTGAGCAGGTCTGGGAAGTCAGGGGAGGCTAACTCCGGAAAGCAGAGCTCGCAGGCTGCTGGTTTTTTAAGCTCAGTTAGATCACAGAGAATGAATTTACCAGGGGAGAGATCAGCGTGGGCCTTAAACATTAGGGGACGTGGGTCAGTGTCACATTGGTTTTTAGGACTAAGAAGAGCTACCATCGGGGTCACGTTGGGGTTAGTCCATGGGAAGGTAATAAAGCCGGGCCTGGCTATGGCCTTCTCCCTCTCCTGTTGGAGCTTTAAAATGATATCCTCAGAGAGCACCGGGTGAGATTTTAATCAGTTAAGTGCCCTGGTGGAGTCTGTCCTGGAGGCATGACAGAGGTGTGTCCCTCAGTGACCCCTGGTATTTCTGGGCCGCTCTGTGACTGCCTGGTGATCACAGCCTGAATGGGGCAGGGGGCGAGGGGGCGATTGGCTCCTACCCAGAAGGGCTGCTCCCCTTTTCTTCCTGCCCCCATCCTGTCCTGGAGGGAGGGGGTCTGTGCCTGGTTGGGCTGGCCCCTCCCACCCCACCTCCAGACCTCCATCCCTGCCGGTCCAGCCCTCTAGGGTGCCCTCACTTGGCTTCCGAATCCTGCCCATCCTCAGAGGCTCCCCTCACTCCACTGGGTCTGGAAG